TGGCGTAGACGGCGCGGCTCTTACAGGAGAGAGGGAGGGAGGCCTGGCATAGACGGCGCGGCTCTCGGTGTGCGGCAGACCTCTTGCTGCCTTCTGGAGTAGGCACAAAACAGGAGGCACTTAGCAAGCCCACACGTTCATGTGCAGGGTGCCTGGTCCCTGACTGTAAATCAGGGTCCTTTGAAACATTGCGAGGCTAATCACACACCACTTTATTGCATCTACAGGGCTCTGGAGCTCCTGCAGTAATAAAGACAGGTGGATGTGCCATCTGCAATAAAACAATGGGGGTGTTATTACATTTCCGGGCCTTCCATGGAAAGACCCATAGGTCTGGTTTTCTCTTTCAATGTGTCCTTTATTGCAAGACTCCCAAAGCTTGGGTCATTTCATGAAAATGAGACTATTTTCATTAAAGATTGCTGGAGTCGCTGCCTCCACGCTGGTGTGGATGGGAGTGCAGAAGGAAATGCCCGTTTCCTCAGTGTGGTGCCTGTCCAGCAGGGGCAGAAGACCGACCTGAACACCCGCCGGCCGCACCGGCCCGGTGCCTGGGAGCCTGATGATTTCCTTGCCGATGCTGGAACCCTTGGCCTTGTTCTGTACTCTTCTAGCTTTCGATGTAGGTGGTTCCAGTTCAAGAAGGAATGGAGAGAAACCATGGTGATTATATTTTTTTTCCGAAGGCTGCCAGCCTCTCTCTGGCCCATATTTCCTTGCTTGGGTCCATTGAGCCCTTTTCTAAATAATTTATCAGTTTGCCACTGATGAAATGTTTCTTCTGATTAAATTTAAGGCTTTGCCTTATTGCCTTGTAGGTGCATAAATTTGTGTTCTGCCAGAGATGGCAGGAAAAGCACTGACTGTTGTTTCAGTGGAAAATTCTGCAGTAAAACCTCACTCGTTCCATCATAAGTCTCAAATGAAAGTTTTATTGGGAGATGGGAGTGGGAGATATAAAGCTGGGAGCATACAGTGAAGAATTTATCTTTGGAGAGAATTTTTCTAACAAATCGGGGCTTCCGGCAGTTTGGTTTAGGATGGGACTTAGGAGCTGGAGCTGCGGAAAAACGCCCGCGGGAGGGGCCTTTCGGTCTGTGTCCTTTCCCCAGAGACAGCGGCCCACACCAGGAGCAGAGGCCACACCCCTTTCCTGGGGATGAGCTTTAATTCTTCTGGTGGCTTTAAATAAGTTCATCAGGGAATATGTGTCATTTACTAAGGAAGATGAAACAGTGTGACGGCACCTCCAGTGACCGCATCCGTCTGTCGGGCAGGTGCATCCCGGGAAGGAGGCGAATGGTGCTCTCCAGTCACGAAGGCACGTTGTAGGAGCTCATTCTCATCTTGTCCAGTCTGTGAGTGGTGAAGGCGGCTAGTCCTGTGTGGCAGCCGTGGGGCCTCCAGGGAGCTGAGCGGTCGGGCTGAGTCGGTTTTGATGTGGCCGACAGTTCTCAGTTGTCCACACAGAGCCACGGTTTGTGGATCACAGCGAACAGGTTTTGAATTTCAGCTTCCCTTCAGTTGGCCGTGCTTCTCAGATGTGTCACAGGCGATTTGTGGTCAGGGGATGGAAGTCGGTTTTACCGTTAGACAAACACGTTTTTGTAATGCCTCACACCACGCAGTGTGTGTTCATGGAGAGAACAAAACAGCTCCCAAGACCTGGTCTATTAGCCCAGTAGAAATTGTCACTACATTTGAATGTAAATGACAGTCATCCTTTCCATGGCACTGAGAATAGAGTTGTTTGTATGCTTTTATGAGATGGCATTGAATGGACCAAAGCTGATGACTGTACCTCCTGGTGGGAGGAGAGGGTATGGGGAGCAAGGGGTTGGGAAGGCCAGTGGTGACAGCTTTGGTTCTACTTTGGACACTTCCAGGTGTGTCTTTTGGATTTTAGGCACAAGTGTTGTTTGCAGAACTGAATGTTTATGTGTAATCTGTGTTTTATAGGGGTTTGTCGTGAGGATGATTGGAATCCAGGCGTCTTCTCCTTGTCCCTGAATGGAGCTACCGCTTGACCTGTGTACCTCATGGCGAGGGTCGTGTGGTTATGTGTGACAAACCGTGAAACCCTCGGCATGGAGCGCTCACGCTGCTAGGTTTTGTGGGAGGCGCCTAGTCAGGTGGCTAGGCTGGCTCTGGAGGGTGCCATGTGGGTGGCTACACCACGTGTCTTCTTTCCCTGGGATGCTCATGCAGGCCTCTGCTTTGTGGGCAGAGTGATCACTATCAGTACAAATCACTCACCTGCCTGTGCCCCAAATGTCTTGGAATGAATTTTAGAGATGG